AAATTATATAGATCACATTATGAAGGTTCTTACTTAAAGCTCAACAACTGAGGAAAGCGGCTTAGCTAAACTAACGGTGAGGTATGAGGGTGGGGAGCCGAACATAGCGCTTCCATGATCAGCAGAAATGCAAACTGTTGAATTTTTCACGGTCGTTACGCACCATATTATTAAACTTCCATTTATCCTCTGAAGGCGACTTATGGCTGYYACAATTAGTGGAAGTACTCGAGYTGCTCGATGACCGGTGTTCCATGACATATTTGGTAACTGCGGCTTGTGGCTTACTATTCGTCGCGTTCGAGTTTGCTTGATCTGTTGGTGAAATGTGACGTTCCGTGCGCTCGTGGTAAACCATTTTGAAGGATGAGAGTGGAGGTAAACGTGTATTTTTTGTAATAATTTCCCAGGAATCGCCAAATAACCAAATCGTATGAAGCCTACTGAAGTTTTGCTTGTCTGCTCACGTTATCCAATTAGCCCTAAGACGAGTTCACGGTACGTGCTGGATTTGTGTTAGAACTTTAAGTTCTAAATTATTGCCGGTATTGCCGGTGCGTGAGCCTTTGCAGACAGCGAGGTTTTTGGACAAACTGCAAGCATAGTTAAAGTACATAGCATTGGTAATGATACTATTAGCGATGGAAATAAATTTATTTGTAATACATACTGCAAGGTTTTCAGTAGCTTCAGCTTGGTATCCGTGGTCGAGGGTCTCAGCATTGACACCAATCGGTTTGRCAAACGTTCATCTGTTTAATATATGTTGTTGAGTGCAGCGACGCTATTTTTCCCGTTAGAAAATTGTACAGCGAGARTCGTAACTGCGCAGAAGCGAATGCCTGACGCGTTTAGTTGATTTGATAACTATTCGTTGTACAAAGACTGCTGCGCTGACGCCTTTCTCCGTGGCACTGTTTCACCTTACTAGAGCGCTCACGTGCATTACAAGGCCCTTAAATATTCTCGTCGTGTTGCAGACAGCCGAAAGCGCCAGCTTCCAGACAACTGCAGCGCCAGCGCTGTTCTAAAGTCATTGAGAGGCGAGTGACGAGCGGCCAGCTGCCAGCTGCCAGCCGGGCAATGTATTGTAGTATGGCTATAATTTGGTGTTGTTGTATGCGACGTGTCTCAGTCTTGCCTTTGCAATAACAAATGCAAATCAGCCACTAGACTGGTTTCGCAGCGAACTCGGCACGAATTGCGGTGGGCGGTTAGAGGTCGGAAACAGAGCATTCCGCAGCCAAGTGATACTTTGTAGTCGGTTCGACGAAATAACCAGCAATTGCTATAGCTGCTGCTGCTGCCAGCCAGCCAGTCAACCAATCAAGCAGAGTGCGGGCCATTAGCAAATGACAGGCAATGCAGGTGGATTATTCATAAAATGCAACAAAAACATGTGGATTCGGGCAACGGTGGGTCTCAGTTACTGACAGTATGCGGGGCCTAGTTTTTTTTGGAAACTAAGTGGAAATAAATTTAAACTTCATAGAAAATCAATAGCTGCTAAGTAKTTCAGGATAACCYCTAATTATCCAATTATRTGAAAATAWTGTATTTTTAATATTAAATTTATCAATAATATTTCGAAAACATAAGTTCAAATTTTTACAGAAATTTTGTAGCTAAGGCCAAGTATATTTCATCTGAGGAAATATACCATATGGATATACATATGTAAGCCACCAGTATTTCGGATAACTGCTGCATAGAAGGCCCCATTCGCGCTGAATTTATTATTATTCAGCCGCATGTGATGAAAGTTACCAGTCGCATTGCATCAGCCAATTTTCTGACCAATGAATTACCACACGCATGACGAACATATACAAACACAAATACATACTTACAAAAAGAATGCATACATACATATAATCGAAATCACACCTTTAAAGCGTGTGAGTTATGCAAAAATTGGTCAAAACCCAATACCAAGGAGAGCAACGTGTAGGGAAGTATCACAATCAGACCGTCTCATGAAGAACATAATATATAACAGCTGCTATTACACATATATACATATGTATATGTACATGGTAGATTTTTCAGTCTGTACTTTTAATAATACGTCATATTGAGGAGTTTTGCCTTTTACACCCATACAGTCTTACCATTTATATTCCGTCATGACAAAACCACCATGGTACAAAGTATATAAAGACAGACGCCCAAGCCCAGCTTCCATGCAAACATTTACTGACCGCTTGCGCATCCACTGCTCTGATTTACAAACTTCTGCGGCACTTTTGTGCAAAATTTTATTAAAATAATAGACACATCATGTGCTCAACTCAAAAAAATCAAAAATAAAAGAATAAAAAGAAAAATTTTAAACAAGGCTCGGTAAAGGCAAATTGTGGAATTAACTGGAACCTTTAAAAACACTAACTAGACAGCTTTGAAATCATTTAAGACTAAAAGCTCGAACATTATAAAATTAAATGTCATAACTCAATATCAATAGCTTCCACAATTCAATCCACAGAGCCTGAATAATTTTTTGAAGGCACTGCCCGTACTGTTAACCAATTTCTTATTTTCATTTCAACAGTTTTATTATGCATTTTTGGACGTTTGTCGTTTTACCCAAAAAATCGATACCTTTCAGCAAGTGGAAGAATCGTTAGTGGGACCACAGAATCTGCCAAAATTCGACCGCAAGTATCCTAAATCGTGGGTCATTGACCTACCAGCCTAATCTAACCTAACCCAAGCGAATTGAGAAAAGAAATAAACATTGCTTGAGGGTTATGGAACGCCATCTAAGGTTATTTCTTCTTAAAGATTGTGCGTTAAAGACCAATAAGTATGCGAATAAAGAACCGGACATTCCAGGTGCAAGCCCTTAAAAGGCAGTTTAGAGTGACTTAAACTGCTTTATAGATCACACAAATGAGTTAAGAAAGTAAACAAAAATCAGCTGTTGTTCATAACCGCCAAAAGTTAAGAGTTGGTCAACCCAATGCTTTTCCGGTAGAGGAGATATTGTCAATCTGTCGCTCTCCATATGAATGCATACATTCAACTCAGTTGTCTGTTGCACACTTCTCCGCTACGGAATCAACGTAACCATTCTGACTCGGTCTTTATTGCTGGATTGTACCAAGAAATTAGCTAATGGATTTGTATGTTCAGGAAGTTTAAACTCGAATTTTTTTCTATTGACCTCCACTTCTTCCTTTACCGTAGAAGTGCAGAGTTCTTTCATTTCGAATGTACCATGCTGAACCCGATATCGCTATAAATTGTTTCGACAGGAACCTCAGTATTATGCCAATATTGAATGCAAAGTATTGTAATATTATTTTATTTCTATTATCTAAATTAGAAATTGTCTTCAAACTCCTGGAATCTTCTTCTGAAAACTTTCGCAAGAACTTCTTTAGATCCTTAATATCAATTCCAAAATACCATTATCAACTTTACTTTTAAAGCAGTTTTCTCACATAAAAGCGAAAGAACTAGTATTTAATAGTCTGTTTTGTTTTTTATTTTCTATAAATAGCTTAAGAACAAGTCTTGATGATCATACTGCATTGATTATTCGTTACTTTATTGCAAAAAATTTTATTCATACTTATCCGCAACCACTGTAATCGACTGATTTGACTTCGTGCAACTTCTGCCTTTTCAGCAAACTCATAAGGCCAATGCAGAGACGACATTTTGACGCGATTGAGGAGATAAAAATAGAAGAAGGTCTTGAAAGCTGTGCCACAAAAGACTCTACGACTGTTTGGAAGGCTCCATAAGCATTGGAAAAATTGCGTTTTATCATTCTGTAATTACCTTGAAGAAGTTGAAACTGATTTGCATTTTTATTTTTAAACAAATTCATCTTACTTTCTGAACACCTTAGAAGTTATAACCGCAAAAATAAAAGATATGTATATAAAGATGGATRAAAACACTCCAGCTCTGAAAGTATTCGACGCAGTACCCGCCGGGGGAAGCAGAGGAAGAGGAAGACCTCCACTCCGTTGGAAGRACCAGGTGGAGAAGGACCTGTCTTCGCTTGGAATCTCCAATTGGCGTCACCTTGTGAAGATAAGAAACGACTGGTGCGCTGTTGTTAACTCGGCTATAACCGCGTAAGCGGTTTCCACTTCAGTAAAGAAAAAGATATGAAGATGGCAAAAAAAAAGTTCACGACAACACTTTTTACACTAACCAAAACTAACGTTGAAAATTAAAAAACGGTCAGGATTCGGGCATACGACCAATCGTGTGGTGGTCGCGCACATAAACCACTCGAGAACGGCTTTTGGCGAACGAATCGCTAAATTTATACCATATTCTTTATAATTTAGGCCCTGATAAAATAAACAAATGCAGGGTCRTCACGTGTTTTAGTACGTCAGAACAACTACTATATTAGCATAAACATATACCGAACTAGTTTTTAAAAAATAACCAAAACAAGAAATCAAATCAATGATGTGAAATATATATAATATTATATAAATATAAGTATACATGTATTACAAAACCACTGAACTAAAAAATCACMTTTTCTCATTGATGTCAGTATTTCGTGTTCGTGACGTACACGTATTTTTCAACGCACAAAACTCTTTGCAGTAAACAACATGCCTAAAAAGAGGCCATGTGATGATTAAGACGGCAAAACTCATCTAACTCGGAAACCAACACTTGATCATAAACTCGTGAAAGCATCTTTCACATAAAATTGCCGAATCAGCCAGACATTCTTGCTATGTAGGAAACTCCTCAACACACGCTTAGGGCAGACATGACGTAAACAACCTGCAAATCAGTCCCATTACTTCGTTATTGAGACGAAGCGTCTTTGGACCTGCAATTCGTTGAGTTTCGCACGTAACCTCTTCGCAATTTATGCAAAACGAGAGTACGAAAAAATAATAAAAAACAAAACTAGTTGACAACAGCCGATGTATTTATAATTATCGATATACATATTTGTTTTGACAAAACAAAACACGCCAAGATCGCATGCCCGAGGCCATTGTATAAATCCGGCAGCTCAACCACGGCACCAAACAGTTCGTTGAAGAAAGTCAAAGCGTTAATATCGTTTAAAACTTTACGCGTCTAAAACTCAAAATCAAAGAATCAACTTGAGCTTTAATAAGCTATCAGCAGATCAACCCRAAACAACAATTCAAAAATTATTCCACAATACATGTTAGCATTGGAAAATTTTCGAAACCGATGTCAAATAAACTTGTGTGTCAATGAATAACCGCGCAGATACCAAAGCGAAGCTACTTAACAACCTAAGGTAAGTTTGYGACTCACTTCCGTTAGTCCTATCTTGGATTTCGAGCTTTGAGACTCACTTRCTTTGGTGCCTTCGTGGATTTCGTGCTAATGAATGTCTCACTTGCTTTCTCTTGCAGCCTTTCTAAACATTTATCCTCCAAGCAAGGCGGCTCACGTACCACCAACTGCGGYAATCGCCTAGAATTTGCGTTGCTAACGCTGCTACAGAACGTTCCTTGAATCAAACGCCACCCAGCACTCCCCCACAGACTGAGCATTAAGTTCGCCGACTAAGCTCTACAGTTGCTTCCGTTATTAACCGACCCGGCTCACACGTTAACACGTAGTTAGTTTTTCTAGTAATACGTTTTTTAAGTGCAAAGAAAATTTATTAAACAACAACAAAATGGTCCAAAAACATCGTTCAGTTTCCAAAGCCACCCTTGCCAAGGATGTGAGCCCGATGCGCAACATGACAATCAACAAGCAAGCGCTCGCCTCGAGTCCCGCCAACAGCATGGCACAAAGCTTCGGTGGMCGCTTATGTGTGCCCTCRGCAACATCGAGTAGCTGCAATAGTGCCGACAAATGGAAATACAACAACATGGTGAACAATCAACGCGAACAATTCAACAGTTTGCACTTCTGCTAGGCGCCTGGCATCCTGGCTTCTCGATAGTGGGTGTCCAAAGATGAGTTCTAAGAGCATTTCTGGAAATTTTACTCGCTAAAGCATCAAAAACTGCGACGTCCCACATGTTTATTCGCATGACATTCACTGATATAAAATATCATCCAAGTTGTTTCTTAGTATTCCAATAAATTATATATTTTATAGTTAAACGTTAAACATTAGAAATGTTTATAATCGTATGTTTATGACCTGTTCTGATTTCGCTGGCAATCAATAAATAAGCTTTTATTGACGGCGAGTTTATTTGCATTGCAAATTGAGCGGAAAAATAACAGAAACAGCAAGCAAGCAGTTCGCAACTAGTTTTAGTTTGGCGAAAGTCTARCGGGCGAGTGAGCAAAGTCTTCTGGAGTAAAGTAGAAGTGGAGWAGATTTTAATTTACTAAAATTCCCCTGTTCACAGAGCTTTTTTGAATGAAAATCGTTTGGTTCATGAGCATAATTTCCAGCCAGAGTAAATKCATTTGTCATTACAGCCTTTCATTGCAAAAATAGATACGGCGGGATGCAGAGCATAAACCGAGGATGATGAATTGATGGAAAATTCCTCCTGCCGATTGAGACGGGATATATTGGCTTCAACTTAAGGAACATTGGGCAGCTGGGTTGCTGGATAAGACTTTAATTGTTTACCACGCGGAAGCACTATGGACCTCATGATAAAGCACTCACGCGCCGCCCTTTTCAACCAACCAACCAACGATCTTTCAATATAAAGTTAACGGTTCGTTAGTGTGGAGCTTTGGCCTCTTGAAAATATGCGTTTTTCTAYCTTGAGGTCCCATTTCGTGTGAAATATTTTGCAACAAGCCGTAAATTCAATATAGGAAACAGAAAATAAGCAATGGGAGCGAATTCCGGTGAGTAGTGAACCATCTCATRTCATAGTTCCTTCAATTTATCAGCCATATCATAGGCATTGTCTTCGTAAAGGAGTATATATGTATAGAGAGATTAGCCAAGCTTCATCGCTATTAATGAACTAAAAAGTTATTCGTGATTGCCGTCGTTAATCCCRAAACATTTCTCTTCATTAAGCTAATGTCTTAAAATCTAAATAACCGCAGCCACACACATACCATATGGCTTAGCACAGTCGCGTGCACAGCAAAGACAACGTCGTCACGTGTCGCATGTTGTGCGTATCTGCAGTGAAGATTTTTCTACCGTTATGCTTTTTRTTTTTCTTGGAGAAAGCCAATCCAGCACGCGATTTCGCTTCTCCACCAAAATGGCTGACGACACCACAAAGCACACGCACGCCTGCAAAGTGCATGCAAATAGCACAATATATACATATACTAACTTCATATATGTACATATGTATATACATCCATTCATATGTAGATATACATATACACATTCSATGCATGTATGTGCCTGTGCATGCAGAAATTTTGCAAATAAATTTTCACTTTGTTGTAATTTTTTTCCAACTGCCACAAACCTCTGCCAAATTAAAATATTACATTGTACGCGTATTATTGTAATTGTTGTTGTGTATTTTATTTTGCAAATCCGCAAAATGGCGAACACCGCTCATATTTCATTGTTAGTCGGTGTTATTGATGTCACATTTTGCATTGTGCTGAAGCCACAAATTGTATGCAGATTATGAGCGCCACACACAACATACAGACAAATATTCGTGCAAACATACTGACGTGTATAATAAATACATACATATGTGCATGTACAGTAATATACACACATATAATATATTCATATATATATTTTTATATGAGTATAGGCAAGATTACACATATCCATTGACTTGCAGTGATTCGTACGGTTTCTCCACCTTCCG